CAGCGAGAGTGAGGATTTTTAAGGACGTAGTGATTGAAGGGTGGGTACAATCTACGAGGGAGCCCATTGTACGACGCGAGAGGGGAAACATACGACTCAGCCGGCAGAAGAACTCACTGGTTTGGTTACGGTTATTGGTCACAGAGGGAAACTACCCACAGGACAGCGGCTTCACCACGAGCGCAGAGGGAAGAACCAACTAAAACGAGAAGGAACGTGTGAGTCGCTTCTGGGGACGCGACTCTACTTATACCCGTACTCAGTCAGTGTATACATTTTTGAGCATGATTTATACACTTACGGAATTTTTATACCCGTACTCAAAAAAGAGTTAAGGGGTATATTAGATTTGTGGTAAAAGTGGATGTGTGTAACGCAGAGAAGGAAACGTTTCCGACCCCATAAAGTATATATATTCTTGATCAGCATCATAGCCGAGTCGATATAGCCATGTCTGTCTGTCCGCTGTCTGTCTGTTTGTCTGTCTGTCTCGATTAGCGCCTGATCTCAGAGACTATAAGAGCTAGGGCACCAAATTTGGTTTCCAACTCATGGATATCACGCTGCTACAAGTGTATTTCAAATTCGCCGCCCCTCCGCCCCCACAAAGAACGAAAATCTGTGGAGGCACATTTTAAGATCGTAAAACTAAACAGTATCGTAGAGAATGCCCATACTACCAGACTGCTGAATCTGAATCAGATCGGATCATAATTATAGCCAGAATGACGAAATAATTTTCAGTTGCTTCCCCTGGCCCCCCAGCCAACGACAACACAACTCATTTTCCACTCGCTGCACACTTGCCGCGTTCAGTGCGGAGCAACCCCTAGCGGAGGAGATGTAGAATCTAAGTGGTACATGTATAATCTACATGTTAAATGTAGAATATACATAATTGTAGATGTAGATAACAGATGGCATTTAAAATTATTTTTTTTGTTAATGTAATTCTAATATAATCTATGTCAAATGTAAATACGCTGGTGGGTTAGAGGGTAGGGCAGCCCGTTGTTGTTTGTGTTACCTCGGTCCTTGTGCTTAACCGTTTTCATGGGAACAACGGAGGAGTGTGGCGCTTCGGCACTATGGGCTTTCGCCCCTTCGAGGGATTTAAACAATTTTAGTGAAGTCACAATCGTTCTTTAGTTGGTCCAGACGATAGGGGCGCCACGGGAATCAGTGAGAACCGCGATCATTTAGTTCAATATTGGTTTTTTTTGTAACTACAATATTACTCAATTTTTTTATTCCAATCAGGTGGTTTTTTATGTGTTTGTGACTTCTCATGTAGAGGTGCCCCTTAATAGGCCAATTTGTGCCTTGTGCTATTTTTTATAAAGCCATCTTGAAGGGTTTAAAGTGCAGCAGAGTCCATCACAGATGTTGTATGTTGTAAGATTGCTTGTTCAAATGATGTAATTAAATAACTTTTTACGTTTTGGGATTTTAATTTTTGGTATTTGGCCGTTTTTTTGGAAGTGGTCGAGGGGTAAGCACAAAGGGGAGTGTGTTGTAGAGGGTTTTTTGGTGTGGCTTTGGGCTGGGGGGCACAAAGTTGGGGATTGGGTACCACGATGGTAACACTGCTGGGGTTCGACCCTACTCTTCCAACACATTGGCTAATGGCAGCTTGCATTGACATACGTTTGTATGCTCATGCCAGCTGCCATCGTTCCATTCAGTTTGTTATCGGTGGATCTTGTATACCCTGGCCTTTTAATTCACGCAGGGTACATTGTTCGTGTCGTTGGTATTTCGGGGGGCTGCACGATAAATTTTCAAACTGTCGTCGCATCAGCCAAAGGGTAGGTTGCCTCAGACGGTTTGCGGCTATGTCTCTGAGGTTATTCTTCAGTGTTTGGTGACGTATTCAGCGACAGAGGGTGGTCCATTGGTTTTATCTTAGAAGTTCATCAAGTCCGGATGGCAGCACGCAGCGTTAATATGAGTCCTTTTAATGTTGTTATATACATATTGTTATAAACGGGCAGGTCTTTTTCTCAGGGTGTGTAGGTTTATTTCTTACAATCTTATTATTGTTTTTATTACAGGGCTAGTGAGCGCTTTATATTCTTTCTTACTTAAACTGATTATATAATATTGTCACAAAAGGTTGTTAGTTGTTATGTCTCTATGGATTTAAATGGTTAGGGGAGGCTCCTTATTCTAATAGGTTGGTTATTTACCCGGCAGAGCGATTATGCCGTCTGAGTTATTATTTGGCCTGAAGGGTCAAATTTCCCTAGGCTGTGGATGCGTCTACCTATACCCGGTCAGTCGTATATACATTTTTAGCTTATGATTTAGGTAGAATTTTAAAAAATTATTTCATCTACATCTACAATGTCGATTACACATCTGAAATGTAGATTATACATGCATTCTACATCTCCGCAAAGGTCAAGTATGCACAGGGCAGAGTGTGTGCGAGCGAGAAAGAAAAGGAGTAGCGTCAACAGAGCTGGAGGAAGTGGGGGAAGCAACTGAAAATTAATTTATTTATTCTGGCTATAATAATGATTCGATCTGATTCAGATTCGGCAATCTGATAGATATGGTCATTCTCTACGGTACTGCGTTTTTAGTTTTATCGTATCTTCAAAGTTGTGGCTGCCACAGATTTTCGTCTTTTGTGGGACTGAAGGGGGCGGGGCGAAATTTTGAAATACACTTGTAGCAGTGTGATATGACATGAGTCTGGAAACGGATGGACAGACGGACACGGCTATATCGACTCGGCTATTGATGCTGATCAAGAATATATATACTCTATGGGGTCGGAAACGATTCCTTCTCTGCGTTGCACACATCCACTTTTACCACAAATACAATATACCCCTTAACTCTTTTTGAGTACGGGTATAAAAACAGTCCCGAAAATGGTGACGTGCGGCACTACTATTTCCATGATTTACATATACTAGCTTTATAATCAAACTTTGGTTGAAATAGGAACAACCATTATTGAGAGAAAACACAATGATTTTTAAACTGTTCCTTAAATCGTATGTGCTTATTTTTTTTTATATTAAGTTACTTTCAACCGTGATTAGTTGAAAGATTTATTTGGCCTCACGTATGTGCTTAGATTTGAAAATTTGACAAATCAAGTTTCCTGTCGTTTATATTTCATTCCAAAATAATATAAAAAGTTAGTGTTCGTTCGTTTAAAACTGAATTTTGTGATTGTAAAATTGTAAAATGGATAGTTTTGAAGATTATTACAGCCGGATTTGCACACTGATCGACGGAGTTGTGGAGTTGCCCATGTGGCCAAACCACGAACTTACCAGCTCTCTTTTTGCTATGCCTATCAGTAAGTGATCCGTTAGTGAAAACGATAGAAACCAATCTAGCTCTAGCACAACCAACCCTATTGCAGATGAGGCAAGAAATAAACTCCGTGAGGCCCAGGCCATTGCGAAAAAGGCCGATCGCACAATCATCACATTGGACGATTTACAGATTGTGACAAATTCAGAGGTTTCGATGATGAATACAGCCAAGACCACCACCAAACACTCGTCGTCTTCGACCCCGCTTGTCTTCAGTCAATTATTGTGAGGACTAAACACGATGGCAAGATCCGCAAGAATAGTCCAATAGCCAAGCCATTTGAAGCACTCCTGATCATCGCCCGTAGATTGGCCTTCTTCTCTGCACAGCTCTTCGTTTTCTTCGGGCAGCTTTCCCTCTTTTGCGGCTTTTGCGGACACTTTTGACATATTTTTTTGCGGCCCAACTTTGCTTTCGCCTGGCACTTGCTCTCCTTTTTCACTGCACAACTTTTCCCCTTCTTCCTCTGCAACCCGATTCGTTTCTTCTCTTGCCCCTCTTGCTCTGCAAGCTGATCGAACACCAGAGTCAGGTAGCTGTCGGTCAGATCCAATGGAAAGCTCCCCAAGAGTAGTCCAATAGCCAAGCCATTTGAAGCAATAAAAAATCGATGGAAAAACCAATATTTCTTCTCCTTTTTTATACCCGTACTCAAAAAAGAGTTAAGGGGTATATTGTGTGTGTAACGCAGAGAAGGAAGCGTTTCCGACCTCATAAAGTATATATATTTTTGATCAGCATCAATAGCCGAGTCGATATAGCCGTGTCCGTCTGTCCGTCCGTTTCCAGACTCATGTGATATCACACTGCTACAAGTGTATTTCAAAATTTCGCCCCCCCCCCCGGGGGCGCCCGCCGGTTCAGTTGCTTCCCCCGCCTTCCCAGCCAGAGATACGCTACTCATTCTCTTTCTTGCTCACTCTGCCGCGTTCAGTGCGCGAGCAACCCCTAGCGGAGGAGAGGAATGGTACTGTACAACTACAGAGATGTAGAATATACATTGTAGATGTAGATAACAGATGTAGCAAAAAAATTTAATATGTAAAATTTTTTTTTAATTTTTAAATTCTATAAAATCATAAGCTCAAAAATGTATATACTGACGTACGGGTATAAGTAGAGTCGCGTCCCCAGAAGCGACTCACACGTTCCTTCTCGTTTTTAATAACCTTTTGAAGACTGACAGAATTATATCTAAATAATGTGTAAGTTACTTTTACAACGAGAAGGAACGTGTGAGTCGCTTCTGTGGACGCGACTCTACTGTATGGTTAGTACCCGTACTCAGTCAGTTTTCGCCAATTCTTGATCTATCTATCGAATAGCTGTGGCACTATTTATGCCAAAACGTTTTCTTAAAAAAATCGCCAGAATTTAATATATTATACTAACGGCTCAGCAACGTTTGATAAATGAGCAGAAGAATACGTTTTATATAACTATAATTTTGCAATATGTGGTGGCCATACAATATTTGTTGTTTGCAAGTCACGGAAACACACGCATTATTCCGTTCCCGTTTCCGTCATCTTGAGAGTATCTTCTCCCATTCCGTCTGCCGCTACGCATCTGAATGCTTCGTGTGTTTCTTCACCATAAATATTCTCGTTCTTCCTTACTCATATTCAAAATCCAGTCAATGTGCAGGGCACCTAGCTGGGTTGTGGTTCAAACTTTTATTTTTAAAATTGCACCCAGTGTGAATTTCTATATAATTCAATAAAATCTCACTAATCATATCACTAGTATTAAACCATAATTTCTAGGAAACATAAACATGGGCTATCCACTTGAGAAGATCAGTCATCAGAGCCTGTTTGGGCAATCGAAAATCTGCAAAGGTCTGGACCTGGGCATCGACATCAATGCGGAATGAGCGACCCAAGCCCTGGAGAACCTGGAAAAGAAAAATTGTATTGAAAAAGCTTTGCTGAGAAGGAGAAAGAGAGCAAGACTCACCCTCATGGCATCTTCATCGGTGGTATCATCGCCGGCAAAGACAACCCTCACATCTTTTTGCCAATTGTCGCCAAACTTTTTATTCAGAATGTAAAGAGCAGCCTCGCCCTTGTTCCAATTGACTGGCGGTTTAGCCTCAAAAGCCTCATGGGCTTGATTTACACAAAATCCGTACCGCAGACAGATCTCCGTGGCCAACAGGTTCTGTGCGTCCTTCAGCTCCACAGGTGTGTCGCAATAGTGATAGGTGAGCGAAACCCGCTTATCCTCCACCCAGGCGCCATTCTTCTGCATCTTTTCCTTGAGTTCCCAGACCATATCCGTGTAGTTCTTTTTCATTTCTGCAGGCAGCTCGAAGTCGTACCTCGAACCATCTGGATATTCGATCTCCAGGCCATGATTTCCCGCAAAGGTGGTGCCATCGATTTTCACATGAGACTGGACATCCTTCAGGCCACGACCCGAAATGATAGCAAGGAATATTTGCGGGTGTTTGGCCAATTTCCGGAGTGTCTTCTCCAGTTCTACGGGCATATGGGCCTTGTTTGGATTATCCGTAATTGGTGCCATAGTGCCATCGTAATCCAAAAGAATTGCCAACTTGTTGTGGCTATTCAGGTAGCTGAGATCAGAAGGGCAGAGAGAGATTAAAGGACCTATCAGTAAATTGTCCTCGTTACATGACATAGACAAGGTCAAAAATTACCCTTGGACTTACCCAGGTAGCTTCTGCTCGAACTCCTCCAGGCGGGTGATCACAGGAGCCACTCTCTTCACGGGCATTCTGATATCTTGCTGATTACTTCTGGCTAGGCTTACGATCCGTACCAAAAGGTATATGAGTTTCTGATCTTCTGATATTTTTCGGATTAATCCTGGCTAGGCTTACGATCAGTACCAAAAGGTATATGAGTTTGCACTGGAATTTATTTCTGTAGGAAGAATATTAGCTCCGAGTTTTGGTCTTATCTGCTTGCTACTGTCTTAATGTCTGAGCTAAAACTGTGAGGGTTTTGCCTATAAAGCGGATGATAGCTTACAGTATTCAGTAGCTATCTCTGTTGAATAGAAATCGCATTTGCTGTAAAATCTCTCTCACATTCTCTCTCTGTCTGTCTGTCTGTCTTGTATCTCCCTCGCTTTTTAGTTATCAAATCTCAGTGTCTCTTGTTAGCTACTCCATAATCTCTATAAGTTTTTATTAGTTGACCTTTCTGAATGTATTCGATTGGAGTGGGTTGTAGGCACCTGTCCCTTTCGACTGCAGTTTTATAACGATTTTCCAGACGGTTCGGTGTTTCCTCAAACACTTTTTTGTTTTTTTTGTTTGTTTGGGAAGGGAACAAAGGCAAAGAAAAAAATGCATCCTCACTCGTATTCAAAATCCAGTCAATGTGCAGTGTATACCCAACTGGGCTGTGCTTACCTCGATGTGTTCTCGATGCATACGCTGCTGTAGTGGTTATACCTATTAAATAAAAGAAATACAAATAAGTTTCCAATTTTCCACAACAGCCTCCATAAGCCAAACATTTATTTTTTAAACTGCACCCAGTGTGAATTTGTATATAATGCCTCGGGTATGCAAAAAAATCTCACTAATCATATCACTAGTATTAAACCATAATTTCTAGGAAACATAAACATGGGCTATCCACTTGAGAAGATCAGTCATCAGAGCCTGTTTGGGCAATCGAAAATCTGCAAAGGTCTGGATCTGGGCATCGGCAGCAATGCGGAATGAGCGACCCAAGCCCTGGAGAACCTGAAAAAGAAAAATTGTATTGAAAAAGCTTTGCTGAGAAGGAGAAAGAGAGCAAGACTCACCCTCATGGCATCTTCATCGGTGGTATCATCGCCGGCAAAGACAACCCTCACGTCTTTGTGCCAATTGTCGCCAAACTTTTGCTTCAGAATGTAAAGAGCAGCCTCGCCCTTGTTCCAATTGACTGGCGGCTTAGCCTCAATAGCCTCATGGGCTTGATTTGCACGGAAACCGTACCGCAGACAGATCTCCGTGGCCAACTGCTTCAGTGCGTCCTTCAGCTCCACAGGTGTGTCGCGATAGTGATAGGTGAGCGAAACCCGCTTATCCTCCACCCAGGCGCCATTCTTCTCCACCTTCTCCTTGAGTTCCCTGACCATATCCGTGTAGTTCTTTTTTATTTCTGCGGGCAGCTCGTAGTCGTGCCTCGAACCATCTGGATATTCGATCTCCAGGCCATGATTTCCCGCATAGGTGGTGCCATCGATGCTCACGTGAGCCTGGACATCTTTCAGGCCACGACCCGAAATGACAGCAAGAAATATTTGCGGATGTTTGGCCAATTTATGGAGTGTCTTCTCCAGTTCCACAGGCATCTGGGTCTTGCTTGGATTATCCGCAATTGGTGCCAAAGTGCCATCGTAATCCAAAAGAATTGCCAACTTGTTCTGGCTATTCAGGTAGCTGAGATCAGAGGGGCAGAGAGAGAGTGAGATTAGCGATTATAAGTCTTATCAGTAAATTTTCCTCGTTACATGACATATACAAGGTCGAAAATTACCCTTGGACTTACCCAGGTAGCTTCTGCTCGAACTCCTCCAGGCGGGTGATCACGGGAGCCACTCTCTTCTCGGGCATGCTGATTTCTTCCTGATTACTGCTGGCTAGGCTTATGATCAGTACCAAAAGGTATATGAGTTTGGCTTGGGTTTGCACTGGAATTTATTTTTGTAGGCAGAATATTAGTTCCGATTTTTGGTCTTATCTGCTTGTTTCTGTCTCAATGTCTGAGCTACAACTGTGTGGGTTTTTCTTATAGAGCGGATGATAGTTTACAGTATTCAGTAGCTCTCTCTATTGATAAGAAATCGCATTTGCTGTAAAATCTCTCTCACACTCTCTCCCTGTCTGTCTGTCTTGTGCTCAGCCTCTAATTTGTCTCTCCCTCGTTTTTCTGTTATCAAATTTCAGTCTCTCATTTTAGCTACTCCATAATCTCTATAAGTTCCCATTAGTTTACCTTTCTGAATGTACTCGATTGGAGTTGGCTGTAGACACCTATCCCTGATGGATATTCAATGCGCTTTGAGTTGTTGCCTCACTGTCGACTGCAGTTTTATAACGATTTTCCAGACGGTTCGGTGCCCCATTGTTTCCCCAAACACTTTTTTGTTTTGTTTGTTTGTTTGGGAAGGGAAGGGAACAAAGGCAGAGAGAGAGAGAGGGTCATCCATCTCATTCACTCCATATACTACATATCTCCTCTGTCCTCCATGCATCATGCGTTGCCTTCGTGGCTGGCGCGTGCATTGCCTCCTCCTACGCTCATTTTCATTTCAATGGCAATAAAACCGAAAATTCATAAATTTCATACTATGTAGTATAATCCGCCTTTAACTCATACCTCTCCTCTCATCCTTCGAATTCGCTTTATTTGGTAATGAGAATGCAAATCTGGTTATGTCCTCGACCCTGTCCTTCTCGGACAAATCCTTTTGACGTGACTATGCGCGTGTCTGCCGGTAGGAGGTAACCAGAGGAGAACCCACTCTTAAACCCACTCGTAATCCAAACCCCCCCTCCCCGTTCTGGCCTGTATTCCCCCCCATCTGGCCACGCGATTTCGGGGCACAAATATTTGTTGCATGCACTGGAATTGATTAGGCGACAACAACGCGTCTAATAATAGCCACAGCATGAGCGCGACACGCGAAACAACCCATGGAGATGGAGACACAAATGTCAAAGAGGTGAAGGGGAAGACACAAATGTGAAGGGGGTGAAGAGTAGAGATAAAGCTTAGAGGCCTTGACAATCAGACTATCGGCTTTCATTGTACATGGATTAAAATATACGAACATTTAGTGAGATTCTTCCATATTACTCGGTTTCTAATGATATTTCATATATTTATGAGGCATTAAATAGGTAATAAATAGCTACAGTTTGGATGGAATGAAATACATATATGTATTATATTTTCAATTATATTACTATTTGTTACTATTATTATTGCAAAGCATTTGGCAGAACAAGTTCCAGCAATTAATTTCATTATTTTAATAAATAAATATCTTTCGATAGAGTAAATAAACAAATTCCATGAAGCTCTGAAAATTCCTTAAAAAAAGGGTAAATAGATAAAATAGGCACACACAGTGATCGATCTATACATATAGTTGCCAAATCGCCCATCGCAATTTTTCAATATATTTTTCTACATATTGCTTTTTTGCTCTGTCATGAATTTGGCTTTGAATTGTAATCATGACACATGAAAGTTTCAGCGTTGAACTCCGGCACAGAACGCCGGAGGCGGGGGGCCACGGCCGAGCAGCGATGAACTCTAAACTTAAGTGTACATTTAACTTAAATATATCATTTATACGTTTCTAATAAACAGACCCAGTTGATGCTTGAGGATTTTGTGACAAGAGAAGTTGGAAGATCCAAAGTATCTTTTTATCTTCCAACATATCATTGAGTAAAATAATTATCTTTATCAATGTAATTTTCAGTGGGATCTTCCATTAAAAATACAAATTTTTCCAACTATTAACTGTGTCTACGAAACCCACAAGAGACAGATCCAAAGACAAATAAAACAATATTGACTGGACAAGCAAAGGAAACTCCCATCGATAATCGTCATCAATGGCTGGCTAAAGACCTTACTAGATTATAGCTCACTCTTACAGGTTGTTAGAGGTTGAGGCAAGTGAATCACGCAGTCGGGTAACCAGCACATGCCCCAAAAGCATGCTCAGACGCAGTCAGAGACTCAGACCTGAACAAATTGTTTACTAGCGATACAAACAGTATTATCGCATCGGGGGTGGAATGAGAGTGACAGCAGAGCAGAGCAGACAACCCACTCATATACAAGGGGAATGGAATCTCTCGCCCTACTCGATGCGGCCAAGCCGAGAATTGTTTATCATCGAATTACGGCAATCGACATGACCACAGCTGTCTCGTCCGCAAGCCTATGAACACACAAATATGTCTTATTATACTGCTAATTTCGCTTTAATTAGATCACAAGCACTTTTTTTGCACTGCAAACAAGTGTCTGGTGTGGCATCATAGCACGTAGTCCCCCTAAATCTTTTCAATTCCAATTCGACGGATCGAACAACTGTTCCCTCAGAAAGCGGACAGTGGATGGAAGAGACGGACAGTAGATGGCCCCCTCTTCAGCCTGAGACTGACTGTATGAACATCATCAAAAAATCGACTCATACACATCCCTCTCTCTCTCTGTGTTCCAAATGCATTTTCTCACTCACTTTTGCAACGATTTTCACTGATTGGTTTGTCACAGATCTTAATTTGCGCCATTTGTCAGATCGAAGTCTGTCAATTAATGAAAATAGAACTAGAACCCACTTAGATTCAAATTTTGTTGTAAATATTTTTGCTAATGATCGAATAAATTTGTTTTTGTATTTCCTACATTTTTGTTTTTCTTGACAAGCTTTTCCAAAAAGCTCAAAGAACAAGTTTGCTGAACAGGTAATAGGCCACGGGGGGCAGCGGAGGTCTTTGGCTTTGGCGGTCATAAATAGAATTTAGAAAGCACTTAGCAAAATAGCAAAACAGTGCACAATCACAGTGGTTGGAAATGGCTCGTACATGGGGTAAGGGCAATTGTAATGAATGAGATTGTGGAAAGGAATTTTACTTTGTTCAAATGTGACACAGTGTTCTGTGGATTGATATTATTGGAATTACCTTAATATATAGTATTTTGCAGTCATTTTCTGAATTGCTGAATTACTCTAAAATTGAGTTTACAATGCCACAGAATACCTAACATTTTGATGAATTCATTTGAAGGGAAAGTGACTTTTCAACCTTGGCTATACGAAGGTACATAGGTATATATCACGCCAAAGATTATCCATGCATTATCATATATCATATATGATATATGTATGTATGTACTGCAGTGCTACAAAATTGTCTCTTATTTCCTAAAAACTAATTTTTATAATTTTAAAGCATACTTTTGG